CCTTGTACTCTTAAATTTTAATTTGTAATATTTGTCTGCTTAAAAAAACTACCATTGTTGGAACATACTTTAATTTTTAGGCTTACTAGTTCGATAAAATAAAAATTAGACTAGCTTTGTTTATAAAAAATTGTAAGAATAATTGTAAGGAAACCTTTTAATTAAGGAAATTTTTAATAGTAACTAAGATAAGTTTAAATGACAGTAGTTTTCTTAAAAATATATTACATTTGATTTTTAATATAAGACCTCGTTTGATTTTTATTTTGATAATAAATATAAGATCCTAATATATTTTGTCTCTCATATTTATTTATTTTTTAAGATAATCCTTCTAATAATGAGTTTTAACCAATAAACTTGATTAGTAAGGATATTTTAAAAAAGATAACATCTATTTATTACAAATAACTAACTTAACTTATTTTTCTTAATTTACTCAAATTAGTCAACTAGTTTTTATATTTGGAATCAAAGATAGCCATACATTGATTACTCCTTGTAAAAAGGGGGGAAAAAACCAATATGCTGATTGAAGTAGCAATGATGACAGAATAATGAATCAAACAATCAAAGATTTTATGATGGTGGATATATCAATATTCAAATGCAATTCAAATATATACATGTATGTACTTCTCCTGTATTTAATATAGGACCTGATTTTTGAGTTGGTTTTGATTCTAAATATATGAGTCATTTCTCATATTTATTAATTTTCTCCAAATTACCCCATGGATACTCCTTCAACCATAATCAAGCAGAAGAAGGAGAGTGGGTATTAAAAAGATGATTATGGTGTTTTTGAAAAAATATGTTATTTTTCTTATAATTAACTAACTTACCTAACTTTCTTAATCTAATCAAATTAGTTAAATGGATCTTATATTAAGGATCGGAGGAGTATTTAATAAAATGTATATAATATTCACTTTTTTTAAAACAAAAAGTTGGGTGGGCAAAAATAGCCCTTATGAGGCTCCACCGTTGTTGACTGGCTGACCACTATAAGCATCTATTATGGATACCTATTATTGATGGAGACTACACTATAAGCATCCACTCAACCTTTTTTTTTAAAAAAAAAAAAATGGTCTGAAAATCTTAATCCTTTTTTATTATATAAAAATTTAGTTGTCTCTAATAGTAATTAATGTGCTTATGTGATTTGCAATTGTCAATTTTGCATATATATATATATTATATTTAGATCATATTTAACAGTAAAGAAAGATGGATTAACTTTCTTCCCAAGATAATATTCCTATGTGCTAATGGTGGTGTTTTGATTTTCTTCGTATTGTCATCACAAAATACTAATTTCTATATGATAATGCTAAAATATGATCTAATTGTAAAACACACACACAAATACAAATAGTTATATATATTTTAAAGAAAAAGAGTGAGACCTGATAAATTGAATGTAAAGAGTACAAAGCAAAAAAAAAAAAATTACTTACGGGGTTAAATTTAGCAAAAGGATAGTCACTCACAACTTGGTATATTAAAGTTCAAATTTTCACTAGGAGAACATTTAGTGCTTGATAGTGTCCCAAATAGAATTGCCTCTAATGGATACCTGTGCTTAGTAAAAATAAATAAATTAAAAAAAGAATGGATTAATAAGGTGCAAATTTGCATTGAAAATGTTAAAATGAAATAATATTGCCCTTTATCGTTAAAAATATTAACTATCAATATTAGTTTTTTAATAGGATGAGATAATATTACTACGTTTTGAAACTTTTAGGACAATTTTAAACCCCAAATTTTTTTTTCCAAGATAACATTACTCTTGATTGTAACATTTTAGAACAAATTTACATCTTCATTCAAAATGAATTAAAGACCTGCTTTCATGTCATAGGGTAGTTGTGGGGATAGAGAAAGAAGGTATAGAAGAAGCAACAATACAAACACAGAATCATAGCCGTATCAATCTCATATCCCACAAAGATTCCATATCTATTCACTTCTTTCCCATATTTTACATACATAAATACATATATTACTTCTTCTTAAAAGTTAAGTAACTAGTTTATATATATATATATATATATATATTAATAAAATTAGTTAAATTATTTATTTGTTAAAAAGTGGATTGTCTTTTTTAAAATTATCTTTTAATTATTTGCATTGGAAGCTATTTCCATTGTCATAAACACCTGTAAATATAAATATTTATAATTAACAGAGATAGTTTGTGAAAAATATTATAAATTTGAGAGATAAAATAGATTAAGACTTAGGATTAAAACAAACAATTCAACCAACTTCTACATTTAGAATCAGAGCAAATATTATATATATATATATATATATATATAATGTGACGTATTGTTTCATGTCCATTGAAACCTGTCTCTTGCATCTCGGACAAGACTTCATTCATGCATGAGAGAGAATTCATCAGGTTTCTTTCTCACTTTGTTCTCTCTGTTCATCCCTTTTGTTTTCTCTATTATTCCTTCTCTTTCAAAACTATCACACCTCTCTCTCTATATATATATTTATCCACCTGTGTGTGTTTCTATAATTTGGATAAGAAAAACGGGCATAGATAGGGGACAAATTATCGGGTCTACGACTTGAACTTTGTCCTGAGAAGTTTGAACAGACCATTATATTTGTATGTTAATGCACTTAGTTCTCCTTCTTTTTCTTTTTGTCCTTTCCTTCTTTACGATGTTCAGCTGTCACTTTGATCATATTGTTGGAAGCTAATTCCTAAATTTTATATATATATATATATATATATATATAACAAGGAGGAAGAAAGGAGGCTTCAAGATTAAGAATCAAAAGTTGATGGACTACTCAAACTATTATGGTCAAAAAAGCTTCCTTCTACCATTTTTACACTTTTTTTGCAGGTACCCATCATTATAAATATTATGCAAACATTTAAATCATTGAATTATTGATGACTATGGAATTAACCTCTGGAATGTTTAAACATTCATCTCCTCTTAACTATCTACGTGCCTTTCCTTAATTATATCTCTAGCTCTCTAAGTGTATGCGTATATCTCACTTGGAGCTACCTTCATAATTTGCTAATTAAGATCATTCTCAGTTTTATTAGTGAAAGAAATGTCACGTTACACACACAGATATATATATATATATAGAGAGAGAGAGAGAGAGAGATTGAAGGACTGCAAAGCGTATAGAAAGAGAAGAAAGGAGGAGAATAGATGCAAGATGGGAAAACGCCAAAGGGAAACAACCACCCGATATATCTGTAAATGTCCTTTATTCTTCTTTTATGAATTGATTTATTGATTTTTTGTACATTGTATGAAAAAAGAGAACAAAAGTTTTGGTTGCTTGGAAGTTTGAATGGAACAAGGCTAGTCTTGGATGACATTTTGGCAAGTAGCAGACAATAATTGCTTTCAGAAACGATGATGTAGAAAGCCCCTAACGCATCAAGTGAAGAGGAAGGCGTCCTCCATGTAAAACACAAGCTGAACTACAAATTGCCACAGCTTCACAAAATTTCCCTTCGTTTCCAACTCTGAATTTGTAGCCTAATGACACGTATGGATGATTCTCTACAAGTAGGAAGTCCTAGGTTTGATCCTGTGTTGTAAATGTGGATACCTTCACTAATAATGATTCCGATATTAGTTCGCTATATTCTAGTCCTTACAAGTAAGAGATCGTGAGTTTGATTCTGTTTATAATCTCAGGTTATTAGTGCATGCTTTTCTTATTAAAAAGATAATCGCGACTATGCCTTTGAAGATGGCATAAGAATATTGAACTTCAAATTCCATGTCATTTGCTTAAGTGGTTTTTATTTCATCTGAAGTGATTGTTTTAACGGCAAAAGGTTATTAATGGACAAAGTTTGAAAGTTCAGGCTAATATTTTTACAGTTTTCAAGTTGAGGGGATTTTATGCAAAGTTCGGGAAGGTTACATATATTGTAGCCAAATAATAATAATAAATAAATAATAATATTATTATTATAATAACAACAACAAACCCACCTTTTCAGAGAGAGAAAATTAAAACTTTATGTGTGTGTCTGTGTGTATTTATATCATATTTTTGCTTGGTGTGAGACGTGCATGTAAGTTATAGTAAGAAGAAGAATGATCCTTTGGTGTGAGTATAGTTGGCAAAGCTTTTATTTTTTAAAGGACACCACTGCAACTGGTAGACTCATTATTACACCAAACTTGGTGGGGTTCCATCCTTCTGCTTTCCTATCATTCTATCACTTATTCTGAATGAATGAAAGCATTTCTCTTTGCTTCATCTTCTCAATTTCTCCTTTGCCTTTCTCATTTTCTTTTCTTATTAAATTTTGTTTTATAAATTCTCAACCTTTGCACCACCACACTTTGCTTTAAGAGGCTATGGTTTGCTTTGCTGGTAGCCCATGCCTCTGCAACTCCCGTACGTAACAGGGAGATTCCAGGTTTAAACCTCAGAATGAGTGGAGTATGGAGGTTTTTTTTTTTTTTTGCCGGGAGAATGAAATCCCAAGTAAAGAATATAATTACTAAAGAATCACAATGTCGACAATCAAGCGGCTTATAATGATAAGTTTTAAAATAATAAATGACAACTGCTTACTTATTATTAATATTTATTAATGATAGTATTTTCTTTCCTTGTGATTTTATTGTAATTCTCATTTAATTTTTTTTTGTTTATAAGATTTTTAGATATAAGTAGGTGTATATGGTTGTAAGTACCCCTGCAAAAAAAAAATAATAAAGAGCCCAAAGTTTAATTATTACTCCATTCAATTCTTATTATAAGCACCTAATTCAACTTTACATAAATTGCTAAAGTTAGTTAAAATTAATTATTCCTCATAAGATATCAAAATTACCCTCAATAAAAGTCATTAGTTAGAGGAGTTTGGTTAATTAGTTAAAAAATTATAATTAGTTAGATGCGATCCATCAAGAATGCGTTATATCAACATTATTTAGCCTCAATGATTCGTATTTTCATCAAGAATGCGATCCATCAATTTATTATGATTAAAAATTGAGACCCAGTAGAGATCCTACATTAAGTTAATCAGCATGAACATTCCAAGAAGTCAGAAATTTTTGTAGTCTCTCAAGTTTCATCAATCAACATAGCCACAAGGATTTACAACTCCCCAAAAAATACAAGGAGAAAAAAGAAAAAAGAAAATAAGTAGCATATGTGCATAAGCGTGTGTGTTTGTGTGTGGACACCACTTTTTCTTACTAATGTATCAAGAGACAAACCTTCCAAGAAATCTGCCCATTGCTACATAGTTTGTCCCCCTCGTAGTCATCAATTAAACTTCCTGAACACTCTCAGGCCGATGAACTAATGTCGTCACTCTGTAACATTGAATGAGGTTATGGATGTAGGTTGAGAGCAGGGGAGTAGACATATACTTCAAGTGATGTTTTATATGTGGGTGTCATCATTTTCCAAATACTTGGAAACCTATTTATGAAAAATCTATGCATGAGAAAATATTAAAACAAAAACAAAAGTCTAAGTCCCTATAAGATTTTAGGGCACACACAACATAAACCCCACATTTTCCATGCTTGTTAGGTTCAGACATCTTAACAATGGGTTTCACGAAACACAAGGTAAAGATGCTCTTCTTACCTGTAATTTTAAACCAACAACGCTCAGTTACTTGTAATCGAGTATACCTTCTTTCCGACCCTGCATATAACGAGGGATTTTTGGTTCCTGGTTTGCACTCAAATCCTCTGGAAGACCATCTCTGGTCACAATTCTTAAAGGATGGGCCTCCGTGTTAAAGACCCATGCATCCAGGGGTACAACTGATGGAGGTGAAAACAAAAGATAGAGGTACTTTAGCGTTTCTGCAAGGAAGAAGCTCTGCATCATATTATCTTTTGTCCCTGATATAACCTGGATATTTTGCCAAAAGTGTTTAACGGTTTATAACACAAAGGGCAGAAAAAGACAATTTCACAGTACACAGAATCTTCATGAATGAAGACAAATAGGATTGCACAAATTTAATCAGTTACTGAACCTATGTTGTTTATTATCATGCTGACAACTGAGGGGTTAGCCTAGATGCAAATTGTTTAGAAAATTTTGGGAAGGCATTTGATTGTACCAACGGCACATCACAATATGAACACCCAATAAATCCATGCATATTTTGCATAGCCAAGAGCAAATGAATGTTTAAACATTCCAGAGGTTATTTCAAAATGATTACAATGCTGCAGGGAGAATTTGTTTGAGAAGTTCTTACATCTCTGAGCCCAACATATCCGGTCTCAATCCGAGAGTTCTTTTCAAATGCTTGGAAAATATTCCAACCCCATTCTTGGTATGTCTTGTTTCCAGTAAATCGCCAGAGATAGAAGAGGGACTCAACTGTTTCAGGCCTTAGAATATTCCATGAGGTGCCAACATTCATATCCTAAAAATATCTTTTATCTTAACACATAACACCAAGAGGGTTTGAAACTAGTCTCAGAATGGAGGGATCCAAACCTTTCCTTCATGGAAATAATAGTTCTCCCCAGCCAATTTTGTTGGTGTTGACTGGTAGAAATTGTAACAAGTCCATGCAAGCTGCATAACAGGAAACGATGGAATTCAAATGCTGAAATAAATAGCAATTGAAACATAGCTTTTTTCTTTGGTTAAAAGTTAGTTAAATTTCAAATAAAAGTTTTGGATGCTATGAAGTTTGGCCAGATAATAAAAAGTTCAAGCTGGCTACAGAATGGGACCTAATCTTTTCCCTTTCAAATGCTTCCATTTCCTACAGGGAAAGTTGAGGGAAATCATGGCACAACAAACTTCACAAAAAATGAGTAACTTAAAACAAATCCAAGAACCTTCAACTTGGAAATACAAGTTTCAAACATTAAACCAAAATAGCGGCTTAATTTATGGCGTAATTTTTACAAACTCCAATTTTAGTCAACGTTATGCTAGAAAGCGTGAGTCGCCATGAACTTCGTAAATAACCTTCAAATCCCCATAAGCAAGATGGCATAGGTATCATGATAACAACTAGAGGCTGAAACATCTTCAAATTGTCCTCTACAACCAGTTAGCCCTAAGAAAAAAGTGATGACACAATAATAGATGGAATAGTTATATAATGCCATAAAGCAGAAGTCTGAAGCAAACAAGCGCAGCAATAGGTGTGCCTCACATATGTATAAGTATTTTTATCTCATTAACCCAGATTATTTGAACAATGTCCTCATAAATTTGATAGGCAAAACGACTAGAACATGAAAACAATGCAGACAAAAGCATTCAAGGATATCTTGTCAAGACTCATGATGAATATTTGGTCTGACAGACAAGAGCACTCAACATTAGATGTGCCAAAACCTTGTGGCAACTTTCAGCGTGAGATATTGAAACTACAATCAGTTATGAACCAACTATAAACTACATATAAATTATTGAAACTGATGGACAAGGTAATTTACGAGTGAGTTGCTCGCCACATTAATTCCCAAAACTAAGAAATCAAGGAAACAAGGAAAATTGGAAGAATTGCAATTAGGTCCCAAACAAGGAAATTAATTATTTCCTCAGTCCCATTTACAAGTCAAATTTCAATATTTACAACTCAGACTTCAGCATTTACAAGTAGTTGGGACTTGTAGGTAATTAATTTTCTTATTCGAGACCTGTACGTAATTCTCCCTAGAAAATTCAGTGGATCTACATTAAACTTGTTCATCTTCCAATGAATTTATTCACAATTTTCATATCTCTTTCCTTCTCCAACGCCCGCCGCAAAAACCCAAAAAGACCAAAGAAGTTAACCAAACAAAGCAAATTCAACAGCCAGCAGTGGTGCTGACATAGCACAAATGCTTCTTGAGTATTACCTCCTCTGCAAGGGCCAAAATCTTTTCAGCTTCCCCCGGCTTATAGCCAAAAGATCCTAATGCCACCATTCCAGGAGCAAAACAAGCTAATTCATCCATCTGAAACAAGACAGCGTCAACACATTCTGTTACAGCGTTCTCAGCCAAGATCTTGTGGATTTCCTTTTTATACTATACCTTGTCAGTGAGTGAATTTCCAAACTTCTCAGCTATGTATGCAAATGATGATGGTGTTGACCTCTTTATTAAGCTCTCAAGCCCTTTCATTGATTTCTCCCACATTTCTCTGTATACACAATTCACTAGCACATTTATTTAATAGAAACAAGTGCATGGCTGCTGACGCAGGACATGAAACAAATAGGTTTTTACCAAAGCCAAAAAGATGCTTTTTTGTGGTTCGCAAATACAAAGAAATATGCTCAATTTTTTCAAGAAGATTCACAGTTTATTACCGGTAAAACTTTACTTCTTCTGTCTTGTTCCCTTGTATCCAGGCCTTAAGTAGATACTCATAGAAGCTGCAACACAAAATATGGAAGACTTTAAATGTAACTAGTAAATGAAAAAATGCCCATTAATCTTCAGCCTATTGAGATTATTAAAATCCAGAAGACCTCAATACTGTCAGTGTAGATACCTATCAATGAGAGACATGGCAGAGTGGAATGCTCATCTCAGAAATGTTCATCCTTTAAAAATGTGTATGTGAAGGATATCCAAGCACAACACATCCATGATTGTACATGAACCAGATCATAAATAACTAACTCAAACCCACTACTTTCAATGTGAGAACTAATTGTGTTTACTACAAGCTAAAAAGTTAAGCTTCTGAAAAATGCACACCCTGACATGATGAAATCGCAAGATATTATAAAGTTACACTACCTATCACCCATAGCACCAAATGTAATTGATCCATATGATGCAACCCCAGTTCGAGGATCAATATGTATGGAAAGCAACCCGTTGTCAGGGAAATTTTTTTGAATCTCTCTGATGACTTTCTCTGCCTGAAATATCACAAGGCAATCAGCTCAAACCACTGACTCGAAATATCAAGATCACACTTAGTTACACAAAATGTACAACAACTTTTAAATCAGCATTGTTAGGCATGCCATGCGAAAAGAATACATGAATTTAGTTCGCCAAAAAGAAAAGTCCATTTATGAATATAACAAGGTTCAAACTAATTGATTGCAAAGAGGGAATACAAAATACCTTCTGCTGGTACTTGGGATCTTTTGTTCTTTGAGATAAAGCAATAAATTCAAGCTGTTCTGAACCAGAGTCTGCAAGAATACTGTTTCCCTAGTAACGGAAACAATTAATATAAGAAAAATTATACTTATGAAAAAGTATTTCCAATTTTCCTTATTCCCTACCGCAACTATCTTTCAAGTAAGTTTCAGCTTACTGCTTTTGGGTCAAATAACTATTTACCAAGGGAAGGAAAGGGAACTGAAGTGAATAAACCATTATATTACAAAAAGAAAATAAAAGCGCATTATAATTAGATGATGCAGACAGGATTAATGTTTTCTATCGCGTTATGACTCCTTTTCAATCTTTACTGCCAATCTTAGTACCTCTAGCCAACATAAGTTGGAAAATGGATGTTCCCACAGAATGTCAAGGAACTACGATAACATAAGTAGGAAGACGCATGTTTCTGTTTTTAGATAAATCTGGCAGTCCTTTTGTCCAATAACATCTCTGGAGATGCAGGATGTCATCATCCTGGAATCTAAACCAACAGGATAGAAGTTGTCAATACGAACGGCCAAGAGAATAAAAGGACCCATTGGGAAACCAGAAGATGACAGTAACCCATCTCAAAATGTAAAATTGAGTGACCGGTATCCTTGCTAATGGTCCCATTGATTAATGATTAATGTTTGGGCAACACCACACTAGGTCTTTTATCCTTCAATGTTTGGTCCAAAAAATGACAGACTAAAGAAAAATCTTGGGTCTTAAATCCCTAACGAAAGGAAATTTCCAGTAACAGAAAACATTGTGATCCAAATCAGTGAACTAAGGCAGACAAATAAAACATTAGCAGAAAGAGAAATGTACATGTATGGTAAGGACAGAACATACCCCAGTCCAAGAAGGATTATGTGCATTGCCATATGCCAAGTTAATTCTATTATAAGGGATTCCTGTAGGTGAATCCCAAGCGGGTAGCAACTTATCAGCAAGCTCTCTAGCCTTTTCAAGGAAAATTTTGTCATCAGAAAGATCATAAGCACTAAGAAGACCACCCAGAACTCTGAAATCAATCAAAGAGAACAGGTGAGAGACAATTGAGTACAGACAAAATCTGCTTCAAGCAACCATGTCACAACAATATCATGCTGGAAGAAGGCAATATTAACAAAAATAAGATTGAACCTTCTATTTCAACCTTATGGTTGTCTCAAAAACACTAACTTCAATGTTCTTGTTGAAATCTAATCTGTTTGCAATCCACCTGCAATATTTGCCATGTTAGATGCTTCGATTAAAACCATTCCTTCGATAGAGTAACCATAACAATTAAATTAAATAGTAACTAGAACATGTTAATGTACATATTCGTGCGCACACAGACACACCAAAACAATAACATTTGCTGGGCAACACCAACAACATGACCATACGAGAAAATCTTTCTTCCCCATTTTGTGAGTCTCAAATTAAAGCCATTAACCAAGGGATGAAAAGAATAAAAAAAGAGAATATACACAAAAAAGTATGTATAAACAGATTGTGTAACAGCATTAGTCAAATGAGATATAACTCACTCTCTAGCTCTTTGAAACTGGACTTCAAGACCCATTATATACAAAGTGTCAAGTGAATCTACGATAGTTGCCCCTAGACCGCCAAAACTGTCAACACCATCCCTTGTTTGCGGCTGTCAAAGGAAGAGGAAACTAAATATGATTCATAGTAGCATCCAGCAAGGAGGGTAGTAAGAGCCAAAATAATTAACAAAAACACATATTTAAAGTAGAGAACTTCATTTCAAATTCTTGACAACAGCATAAAAAAAGCAAGATTTAAAATGAACTGAAAAATTGTGGTAATGTCTTGTGGACACTCACAATCAATCTAAGTTGCAGAGAGAATATGCAGATTTGGCTTTGTCTTATATAAAAACTCTTATAACAGGCTGACTAAAGCTCCTAATCCCAGTATGACGCCAACATACTCCTTTGCAAACTTTGGCTGACTAGTCAAATGGACGACTGCTAACTCAAGAATTATATTTTGTAAAGTGCAATTGATTATATTTTCATTCAGAAATGGCCACTCAAGTTGTAATATGTCACCCCTCAAGGTGATCTGAGGGTACATGAGGGCCCTATCATGATATATGTCACGGTCTTTGCCAAGTCAAGTTGATTCCAAGGTATAGAGGCACCATGTTCTTCTATTTTTAATTTTTAATATTCATTTTTGTGCGCATCTTGTAGCCAAATCATCTTTATGAGGTACAAGGCCTGCTAGATCAACTAGTTCCTTAACAGTGAATTACTCAATCAACACTTTGAAAAAAATAAATAAATAACATGGACACCTCAAATCAAAAAGAGGGGGAGTAGCAGAACAATAGACATCGAATTCATCATCTGAAGCACTTTATATTTATGAAATGATTAATGATTTAATGTATTGCGGAAATACCTGAAGTTCATCCTTGCCCCATGCATACTTTTCATACGATGTCCATGCATGAAGCATGGCATCCTTTACTTTCTCTCTTCGTTGGATGGTAATAGGATCATATCGCTCTTCATGTATTTCACTCTGGGTTTGTCCACCCGTAGCTTTCATAGGGACTCTCATGTCTTCTAGCTGTCATTTTAACCAACTCAATCAAACACAAAAATGTCACTCAATGGCTAAAAATATGCTTTAATAGAGAAAAATCAGTGAGCCTTAGAAAATCCAAATTTTCAGCTCTTACTGTATTTTTCAGGATTGTAATCTCTTCATTTAATCTCAAAATCTCCTCCTGCAGGGAAAAGGGAAGCACAAATATACCAGATCAATGGACTAATTTGAAAGAATATGGAAGGGAAAGAATACGAACACAATTGATATAAAGACTGCAGAATTCTGACAAGTCTGAAGCAGTAAAGTTCAATTCAATAACGCTCAAATATGTTTCAACACAAGAGAAAGAATGGATGAAATCACAATTGACCCCATCCTTATCATTTTTCTCCGACTCTGTTGCAGAAGTTTTATCAGAAGGAGAATGATTTTCGGTCGACAATGGAAACTGCTGCCCATGAAAGATAGAAAAGAAGTATTTTTGAAAATGTAGTCGATGAAAGATATTTTCTCGGAAAGATGATCCATAGGAATCCATTTAAGTTAAATTTCTTCGCAGATTTTCCAGTTTATTTATTTAAACTGGTAACCAGAAATTGAGTTTTACCTATAACAAGGAGACTCAATGACTCAATAATCACCAACGGGCGCACCAAAATTTGAAAATACGAAAAGCATTATCTAGCTAGTCGGTCCATGCTAAACAAGTATTCACAATTAGGTCACCAAAAAAATGCACAATTTGGTGTCACCAAAAACAGTGCACAATTTGGATATCAGTTTGGAGGCTCAAAACCAACTGTGTCACCAAAAAAAAGAAAAAAAGCACAACTTGGATATCAGTTTGGAGGCTCAAACACAATTTTGCGAGCCCAGCGGCATTGAATTCTTGCTTGCAAATAGAAGGTTGCTTTTGCTAAACTGAGTTTTCTCAACGCCACTTTCAACAAAATGATATCCAAAAATGCATGCAAGTGGCAAGTGGGGCACATGACCATCTAAGAAAGCTACGGATTTTAAAAAGAGAACTCCCAGTACCTGATGGACCCTTGTGAGTGATTGGCGATCATATACAAACCATGTAACCGAGATTACAGCGAGAAAGATCAATGCAAGTCGTCTAGGCCTCTTAAAGTAATACCGAGGTTGGAGATACCGCCCTCCCCTCACTGTCGACGCAGATACTTTCTTCCCCATTTGCGATAGAGAACTTTAAGGCGATGGATCAGCTGAGAGAAGTGACAAAGAAATTTACAGAAATGGCGAGAAACCCCAAGAAAACAGAGAGAAAACGGGTACAAGGAGTAATGGGGTGCATGGGAGAATAGAAGATACGGTCGTAAAGCAGAACGAAGAAAAACAGGAAATAGATATGGGAAGGAATGGGAATGAAGGGATTGATATGAAGAGTCCACGAGTGTCAAAGCTTAGATTGCGGACATGAATCGTTGGACTTCCCTTGGTTTCTGCAATGAGATTGAGCTAAAGAGAGAGCCGGGGATCGCGCCATGGGGTGGAGGGAGAACGTCGAGATTCTCCTCCTCTGTTTTTATTTATTGCTTTTCTTTTTAAATTAAATAAAGACAAAAATTACAAAAATTCATATCTACAACTTAACTTAAATAATTTAATTATTTACCCTATATTATAATATAGGGTGACGACGCACCAATTTGTTGAAATAAAAATCAATTGAAAAGATTGCATTATTATTTTTGGACTGCATTTTTCATATCTGCATGCACGGTTATACTACCTCCAGTCCTTAATATAAAATCTTGTTTAATTTTTATTTTGATCATAAATATAAAACCACAATCCATTTTGTTTCTTATATTTATATATTTTTTTAAAATAATCCTTCTAATAATAATAGTTCTAGCCAATACACTTAATTAGTAAGAATATTTTAGAAAAAAAACATCTATTTATTACAAATAACTAACTTAACTTCTTTTCTTAATTTTCCAAATTAGTTAACTAGTTCTTATAATTAGGACTGGAAGCAGTGTTACGCAACTTTTTAGTTTGAGTTATGAAATATGGCTGGGACTTTTCTAATTAGTGTTTTACTTTAGTGTTGTTAAGGGTTAAGTCCGTGTTATCATGTATCGTTTTATTTGATTGAAATATAATTGTTTATGAATTTTTTTGAGGAAAAAAATGAAAAAATGACAAAAAAAGATAGTCAAAATAGAAAAAATTGTACACAGGACTGGTTTATAAGAATTACTGTCAAAACCCATACTATTATTATCAAAACCCATACTTATGTTATCATGGGTGTTTATTTATAATTTTTCTATTTTAACAGTTTTGGATATCGTCTGCTCAAACAAATTTGCATTTGATCACTAAATCTCTACACAGGTAAATAACTCTGCAAGAATCAAATGAAAGCATTTGATTTGATCTTTCATTCATTCAAAAAAAAAATTTGCATCTTATTCGATATCCAAATAACAAGTAAAGTCCAAATAACTGGTGCCACTTCCACTCCTTAATATGACTTAGATAAATGACCTAGATAATTAATTCAGAGAAATTATAAAAACTAATTAAATCAGTTATTTATAACAAATATGTTGGTTTTACTAAATTATCCTATTTAACTATGTATCTTGAAAGTATTCCTTGGAAAAAACCTCTTACTACCAATAAGAATATTTTAGAAAAAACATTATAAATTTAAGAGACAAAATGAATTGTTGTCTTATATTTAAAACCAAATCTAATTTTTCAACCAATTTTTGTACTTAAAATCAAAAGTAGTAATAAGATATTATCGTTTAACTTGGGTCAGACTATCTACCTACTTCTTCTGTCCGCCCTTTTTCTTTAATATTTCTCTTCAGAATCTATTTCTTCTTAGCAAAATGTTTTGTGCATGAAAACTTTGATGCGTTCAGTTTTTCCCGTTCAGGTTGGTCGTAAATATATGGTTCACAAAACGTTGTGATTGCTTATCCTTGCCGCCGTTGCTACTTGTATCGCTCATCATGTATGAAAATCTTGAATATTTTGAGAAAATAAAATGCCTTCATTGCCAGGCTTAAGCCCAAGACCTCGTTCAAACATGACGGTGAGCACTACCTCTGGAGCAGTTTGCCTTTGACAGGTATTATATTTCTTGCACTGTTATTCTAAACGGTTTAGTTCTGTGAAAAAGGAGAAATCACAGCTTTTTTCCTAATTAGTGAAATTGATTCGGATCAAATTAGCCAGCCTGACCATGTGCACCGACCTAACCAGCTAATCCTAAGAACATGTGTCGTTTCCTGAGATTTAAAATGAAAATCAACTTCGAAATATTGAAGTTAAAAAACGTTAACTTCCAAACACCAAATGCCCCCAACTTGTATCAAAATCATTAGAAGAATGAGTGATTCATAGGTCAGAGAGAAAGTATATCAACAAACAATACAATACAGATACTGCGTGGCGTGAAGAACTCAATCGTGGCAACTGTTGCAAGTTTCTCAAGAAAACTGATTAGTTAAATTGTTTAGAAGACATTCTTTGACCTTGTTCCAAACGCCAGAGCTTGCTCAGCAGGTCTTCGTTCTCCTATTTTAGTATTCCATGATCTTCTGCCACGGCGTTTTCACATGCCCATCTGATGCAGCTGTTCAACCAGTAGTGCATTATCCTATTTTGAAATGTTTGTTATTAGATTTTTCCGATAAAAACACAACAAACGTAAAGTTTAAAAAAAAAAAAAAAAAAAAAACTGGTGTCTCTAAGAGATTAAACCAAACTGTCAGATTAAACATTGTCTTTCTACAGTTCAACATTTCATTATTGAATCTTTAGAAAAGATTCCTATTATATTTCTACTTGACAACTAACACCTTAAAATCTTCATCCTGAAAAGAATACGATTAACAAAGTTTAAAAACACAAAAGAGGACATACAGACATACCTGTTACAGCCGAGCAGTAGCAGCACGATCATCCGGACAGCCGTGAATCCCAAAGAATTTGTTCATGAATCCTGCTAAGCTTCTCATCATCGAGACGTTTCCACGTCCTGATTTTCTCGACGCCCATCCAGGAGCTTTGTCCCTTCTGAAGTTCAGCCAGAATGATCCTTGCTCTCCTAGGCCACCCAGCCTTTCCATAGGCATGGTATCCAAAGCCACCACCATAACAGAACCAGATACCATCCAAGTTTCCACAGAAGTCATTTTTGTGGTCATGGCCCATAAACACAGCCTTCACATCTACCATGGAAGCAAAGGTCTTCAAGACCCCTGAATTCACTGATGAACATGCGACCCTTTCTTGAAATTCACCAACAATCTCTCTGTAGAACAGCTGCCAAATTTCTGGGATTGGGATATGGAAAAACGCAAGCGCCGGAGGTGCAGGAGGCGGAAATGCATCAGAAAAAGGAAGAGGATCCTGCTTTTGTGCCTGTTAGTGTGTGACCTGCAACATGTTAATGGAATCTAAATATGGGAAATTTCCCCCAAGGGAATGGGAAAATCATTTTCTATTAAAAATTACAAAAGAGATGTGCATGATTTTCTTTTGAGCCAAAAAGAGATGTTCACGATTGAATTATAGCATGATAAAAACGTGAATTCTGCTGATAAAGATACTAACAATCAATCATGATAACCCGTCAAAGATTACCAGTTAATCGGGAGTGGAGACTGCCAAAGGTAGAAATGATAAACAAGGGGAGCAGAGAAGGGGAAAATGACAAAGTTCATTTCTTCTGCATTGGGTTTTACAGTTTTGAATAAGCAAAGTAAGCTACCGAAAGATTCATAGCTGTCATTCAAAAATTTAACCCTTAATGCTTGCAGAGTACCGGGAAACATTTGAAAATTTCCTACGTCAATGGCATTTTCCTGCAGTAGTTCGCTTATATTCACCTAGTATGAAACATACCCTATGCTGGACCAAGTATCAAATTGCTTCCTTAGCAAACAAGCACCTCTTTACACATTTTCACAAGAGCAACTTGCAGTAAAAGCATGTCATATAATATTGCAAACACAGAGATATGACTTAATCTCTTTGCACCCATCGTCGAATAATACTAGGTAAACTAACAAATCTAAAAACAAAGGCCAATTTTTCCTTGGCAGCTACTGTAGACAATTCAGTTTGCTTATTACCCGAAATTCTTGAGAAACATTACGAAGCCAATTAAGCTGAGACTCGTTGATCCATCCATAAGTTTGCTTTCCCTGATAAACAGCCCTGTCTCCACTGTCGAGAAAGTAGAGATTCATAATGCTGCTATTTGCCAATGTGGAGCCTGGGGCACCATAAACTCTGAGGTGATAATTGCCAAAGCCATCAATATTACTTGCTATGCCATCTTGGGTAGGATTAGAGAGACCATCAGTCCATGGATTGACCTGCGAGACTGAATAATCCATGAGGGAGATTAAAGACATCAATTCTTCACGATTCATAGTTGATTCTTGATCATGGTTTCCAAGAACTGCTGCCCAAGGAAGTCCTGATTCCATGGCAGGGCCAAAGGCTTTAAACATAGACTCTGCAGCATCAGTGGTACTCGACCCAAATATATTATCACCTGATTTCAAGAACTGAGTCTCCGTGAATCAGACGCATACAGGAAAACACACACACAGTACTAAGTTGCTGTTTGATTAAGTTACACAAGTGGGAGGCGGGGGGCAAAAAAAAAAAAAAAAAGGGGTATACAATTGATGCTCTCCCCTTGACTAAATCTTTTCCTGGAGAATAGGCAGGCACAATAGTTAGCTAGTATCGCTAACCGTCCTTTAGTAACTAGCAGTGGCAATTAACTCACTGCCAATATTATGTAACATTTTCTGTCGGCAACCCCCCCCCCTCACCCCCCAAATTTAACCTTCATTGCGATCCTATTCCTAAATGTGGATGAATTAGGAAGATAGTGGTCAGAACAGTTGCCATAAACCAGACAGCCAGCGTCCACGATACACCATCATAATATATTGCACGGTAAGTATGCCAACAAGCACGAACATTTTCCAATGTACTTGTTTCTGTGTCTAGCAGCTAGTATCTTTATTATTTAATCAAAACCAGTAAAACTCCAACTAGACTCTGCTAGCTCGATACATCGGATTTCAATCTGAAAGCTCATAAGCGTTTGTCCAATGATATCCAATCTAAGAACGGCAATGAAGTTTACACCTCATTTTTGAAAGAAAAGGTACTTCAATTTTGACTAGTATTCAATGTTCAATTTTATTGTTTCTATGGCGCGAAACCAAATGTTCAAGACGCAGCCAGCCCTTTCGATACATCTTGAGTAACACCGTGAACCCCAGCTTTGAAGTTCGAACATCACATGAACGGAGAACAACCAGGTTCCATTCCAATAGATCAAAAACGGCTCAAAATTTTGGAGGAAAAAAAAGGGCCAGAATTAGTAAGGATTACCGGTAAAGGCAATAAAATCAGGATTCTCAGCCTCAACCAAGCGCCTAAGAAATCGCGTCGTATTAAGATCGGAACAATACTCGAACTCAGAATCCAACACATCTCGGCAACTTGTTATGATGCCACTTCCAAAATGCATATCAGCCACCTGTTACCAACAAACTTGAAACAGGCAAATCTCAAGCTCGAGCAAATGTAAGAACTTCCAGGAAAAAAAAATCACAAATCGATCAAGCGTGGAACGAGAAAGAAGAAGAGACCTGGAGGATTTTGAAGGTACCATCGGAACGGAACCGGAGGGGAAGATCCGAAGTCTTCTTGATACGCACCGTTTCATTGCCGATGAAGAGTTTGGCAGCGAAATGGGAGTGAGTGAAGTAAAGAATGGCGAAGACGAAGGAGAGGTAGGGGAAGAAATACTTCCAGCCATCACTCGCAGAAGCCATGTATGGAGTCGATCAGCTTTCTTTCTCACTCTTCGACGCCAAGATCACCGGTTGTTTGTAAGCCAGTAACGGCGTTTTTGGTGCTCTGACTTATGGGAAAATTACCAAAATAGGTCGTTATCATGGCATTAGATGAATATGTGACAGTTAAGTACAAATGAACAGATCAATGGCTCTAAAGAATTTGCAAATTCCAAAATAGGAGTATCTTAATAGGTGTTTTGTTAAGTGATTAAAACTTAATAAGGAAGAATTATTAAAATAGACAGTTGACACTTTTATTTCATATTTATACTTTGTTAAAGGGTATTTTTCCACTAATTTTTCCAATATTTTAGAAAAAAAATTGAAAATTAACTGACTTACTAAAGATGTAACATTTTTATATTTTAATTGGAAATTTAGTTCTATTTTTCCTCCTTACATTTGTTGCTATTGGATGAGTTTTAAAATTTAAAGTTGAATGTTCCGCCAAAAAATGTAAAGTTGAATATTATTTTTTATAAACCACTTGAAGCTTTTTTCTTTCTTTCTTTTTTTCGTTTTTGGAGTAAATGGTAAAAGTGGGGTGGCACGTAGATAACTTGATATAGGTTAAGGATTTAAGAATTTCACTATAACCAAAAAGTTTTTGGGCCTCAACAAATTTAAATCTTTGACTTGGGCTTGCGGCAATCTCAGAGGGCCCAGCTCCATATTATTTGGGATCAGTTATGAATAACGGAAAAAGTGCTGCGAGTTAAGCAAACGCACCATAGAGTTGAGATGGCCGAGTTGGTCTAAGGCGCCAGATTAAGGTTCTGGTCCGAAAGGGCGTGGGTTCAAATCCCACTCTCAACAACAATGTGGCATTTTAATTTTATACCTCACCACCTGACTGTCCTGTCGACCTGTCCGTTGAGGGGCAAAACGACTTGCGTTTAAGTGCCCACATTTCCATGTGATGGATTTCATGGGCCTCAAGCATGGACTGGGCTTCTAACAAAAACAGTTTGTGTGTCGAAATATCTTTTGGACGACTTAGAGATGTTTTGGGCCAAGCGAGCAACTCAACTCAGAATTCAAAGTCTGAAAATCCAATAGGAGAATTGCCACTATTTAACACCCTAGAGTATTTTGAACATAATTGCATCTCATACAAGAATGACGGATGCGTGAATTTTATTCTTCATCGTTAACAATTAAAAGAATTATTTAAAAAATAATTCATTTATGGAGATAAGAAACGTTGGAAGAATCATGGACCCTTGGTTAGAGTTGGCATGAGAATTAATGATAAAATGTTATTGAAATAATCCTAGTGTTGTGGCTGGTATTAGAAGAAGAGGAAAAGTTACTAGCAAATTTTTTCCCCCCAAAAAGGAGATGATGACAAGATGTTATAAAAGAATGAAAATTAGAAGAACAAAAAATATTAATAACTATAATAATTTCTACAAATAATTTTATATTTTCACAAAATAATTCCCGATAAAAAAAAAAGTCTGCTACCACATTTAACACAAACATAAGAAAATCGTCAGAATTCAATTGCATTACCTCACTTTTTTTTTCTGACTGGGGATGCATTACCTCACATTAGCTTCTTGTTATGTGCACAAGCCTACTTCTTTCTATGATTTTTTTGCTAATAAAAAAAAATTATTTTCATGCAATTGAAACAAAACTTTTTTCTTATATTGAACTCAAACTTCATAATATCACTTCTAAAAAGGTTCACATTTTCACATACACTTCTTTGATTCGAAATGTGAAACTCATTTTATAATATAAATCACACTTTAAAATAAATTTTATATTTAGAATCATAACAATATATAATTGGGTTTTTTTAAATCGGCAAAATGAAACTTTCCAGGAAATTGGGCACTATTAAAAACATTTTAAGGACTAATAAAGACGTAGATGAGGGGGCGATGACAAAGAAGACTAGAAGAGACGAAAGTCAATGTTCACATTCAAAATTTCAATTTTCAAGATATACCAAGCAAATAAAAATCACCAGACAAATAAAATTCAAACCCTTATCTATATTCCAAACCAAACATAGCTATTTCTAGCCAAAGAAAAATTAATGCCTACATAAAAATTCTCATTTCATCCCTCACATCCAAAAACAGTACAAACATTTTTCCACCCAGTTTTATGTATTGTCACATCAATGTGCCGAAATTTTTATTACTCGACCAACTCTATACCTAATTTCATATTACACCTTCTCAACATTGTCGTACGCTAAATATCTTTAACTTTTATTTTAATAAATTATTATATTTCCATTGCAAATTATAGTTTACAAATTGATAAGCTATAGGACCAAAGGCATTTAATTATATATATATATATAATATTCAAAACTTCCACAAGTCATATGTTATTCCCCTTTAAAAATTGTGTATAATTTTTCTAAATATTTTATAATTATAAATAATTATCAGCTTATGATTTTTTTTCAGATTATAAGATTATTGCAATAAATTTATTGATTTTAAAATTTAAAAAAATAAACTAAAATATATTTTTTTAAAACATGGCAAAAAAATTTATTTTAAAATTATATTTATATGGGGTTTTTCATTGTTATTTAAATTAACGAATAAATCGGACCGTACAAAAATTAGTATGTAGCAGTAATATGAAAGAAATTAAGAGAGCAGGGAAAAATGGTCGTGAGGCGAGACTCTGAGAGGTCAAGATAGGTTGGTCTACCTTAACATCACGGCGCTTCATCCGTTGAAGTCAATGTTGCGTTGCTGGTTTCATGTATCTTGTTTGTGTGTGTGGGTGTGTGCGTAGAGAGAGAGAGAGAGAGAGAGAGACTCACCACAAAGAGGCTGATCAATGAATTCTAAATCTATGATTATCATACACACATGTATACATGTATATATGTGTGATATATACACACACTCTTATACATGTATACACACATATATATACATGTATATATGTGTGTGTATACACACATATGCATATGTATATCTATATCTATATTCCTATTGATCCTTGTGAGGTAGCTGTCAACACTTCATCAGATTGAGAGGATCGTTCATGTCTCTTACAAAATGTCTTGCTTCTTCCAGTACATGATATAAATCATACAAAAACTACTCAGGACTTGTTTGTTTTGAGGGGAGGGAGGGGTAGGGAAGGAGAGGGGAGGTTTTATCCTCACCTTATTTGGTTTGATTAAAAAAGAAGGGAGGGGAGGATATTTAATGATTCATTGTTTGGTTCAAGGAGGGGAGGGGAGGGGAGGGATAGTAATAATCAATTTACCATTTTACCCTTACATGTTAGTTTATATTTTTTATTAATATATTATATAAATTAATTTACATCTTAATTTAAATTATATAATTTAATAAAAATTCAGTCTTATCATGTTAATATGTGTATTAAAAAATTGGTACAGTAATTTTTTATTCTAATTAATATAATAATATATTTAAAATAATCAAATTAAAAAATTTTATATGCTCTAAGAAAAATGAAATTTTATTCTCTTTAGGCTATCTTTTTTTCCAGCTTTAAAAATAAATAATATATTTATAAAAAACAATTAATTTTATAATATTATAATTTTTTATTTTTAAATAATTTTTTATAATATATTTTAAATTATAATAATGTATATTTTTTTATTTTTTTTACTTAGAATAATATATTTTTTATTTGAAATAAATATTATAATAATATTTTTATGGGTAAAAGTGGAATATTAAAAAATTTATAAGGGTATAATGGTCTAAAAATTTGGCTCCCTTCCAAAAACCTCCAATTTGGAGGGAAACTAAAATGGGAGGAGGGAGGGAAGGGGAGGGGACATTTTAGCTCTCCTTCCCTTCAAAATTTTTAACCAAATGAGAAGAGGGGCTCATTTCCCCTCCCCTCCCCTCCAACCAAACAAACCCTAGTCTATAACATAAGTCGTCTAGCTTTGAAGGTAATTAATGTTTATTTATCAATTTTATCCTTGTAATTAATACTTAAATGTAACTCTTTATATATTTTTTCTTCCTCTCAACTTCATTTATAGTACGGATAAAGTTGAAAAAAATTATTAATTTGAGATAAATTTAATGAGTTAACCATTTCTTCTTGGTTTTCTGGCCAAAAAACTATCATCTCTTGGTTCTTCTGATGAATTAGTAGTTAAAGTGACTTGCCAATCTGGTCTTTAATGTAAACCAAGTGTAACACATTATGGCATATCAAGAAACATGTTAAATTGAAAAAATTTTCAAGTTTCACCCCTATTAAAGCTTTTTTTATCTCTTTACATTTACAAATCATTTTCATATATATATATATATATATATCCCTTCCTTCTCTCTTTGCAATGAAAAGCAAATAAGGATAAAATTAAAAAAAATATTTACGTCTAAAACTTCTCTTTACAAACAACTTATATTTATGTTTAGGATGGGATGCCAAGTTATAAACAGAAGGAGAAGGTGGTGTGATAATTAGAATCCAAGGAGTGCATGTATGGAGAGAGAGAGAGAATAACAAAACGTGTGGTCCTGATCTGTCTCTTTCTCTGTATACACATATATGGTTTGCTCATTATTCTCAAAAATGGCATTAACTGAAAATGGACCACATTGCACTTTGCAAATGGGGGCTCACATAGATAGAACAACCTTATACGTCTCTCTGTACGTTGGTTGTTTGCCTCGTTATTTTAAGTCAACACTTGACTACGTTGTCATTCACAACCAACAACCTTGTTGCTTCTTATCGACCCTCCATACGTGCAGTTATTATTATTTTCAATATATTGATGACACTCCTATTATTATTACTATCTCCAGTCCTAATTATAAGACTTTATTTGTAGACTATAAATAAGATCTTATAATTATAACCGAATGTATTATTATTATTATTATTGTTGGCAAGAATAACATGTCCACTTTCCTTCCCTCCTCCTCTCTTTCCTCCATTCTCTGCATTATTTAATGTTCTTTTCCTTCTGTCAATGGCAACTTCGACAAATCCATTGCACAACTCTCGTATACTTTGAATCATTCAACCACCAC